CTCTGTGTGTTACACCAGGCTGCCCCACACAAGAGGGTATCTTCATCTTCCCCCATGTGGCTTTCTCCCTTGGACAGGGAGGGGTAGATAATTATCCCCATGCTGGATGAGGTGATGGAGGCACAGAGAGCCTCAGGCCTGAGGTTTCAGTGGGGGAGTCTGGTCTGAATCTCCTTCCCCACGGCCCCCCTCAAGAGAGCCAGAGCTTGGGCCAGCCAGTTAGCTTAGTCGGTTAGAATGCAGTGTTGTAACACCATGGTCAAGGGTTCAGATCCCTGTACCAGTCAGCACCCCCAAACCCTGAAAAAGGGCCAGAACTGAGTACAATAGACACTGACCTAAGTAAGGGGCTCAGCCTGCTAGCCCACTGGCACCCCAGTCTCTGTTGTCCTGTTTGCAGTTTCCCAAGGCCTGGGTTCCTGGCCCAGTGTCAGGTTTGGGTACAGAGATGCTACCTGCAAGCAAGGGTGCCAAGCCAGTACCCTGGCCCAGCTAGAAATGAGGTTCTGGCCAGCTCCAATCCTGACTGACTATGGGAGCTGGGACAAGTCCCGTCATCTCTCTCTGGCCTCAATTCATCATTCTCGGTATGGGCAGGGTGAGAGATATCACCAGTGTCTCCCTGAAATGCCCTTCCTGCTAGGGCAGTGGGCTTTGCAGTCACCTGGGCTTCACAACCACCTGGCTATTTGGGCCTGAGCTAGACCCAGTCCTTGTTGAACCTACATCCTTGTCTGTAGAATTGGATGAAAACGGCCATCTCCTGGGTGTTACTAACAAATGCAGAGGCCAGCAGTGGGCCTGGTATGTGCAAGGCATGCAGGACCGGTTGAAAGTCATCCTCGTCCTCCATCCCACCCTCATTCGACACACCACACTCTCCTCCTTCCCTCTGTCTCCTGCTCTGAGTCCCTGTCCTTTCTCTTGAGGACCAGCAGCTCCAGCCTGACTCTCAGGGCTTCACCTCCTGACTCAGGGCCCCTGCTGCCCGGGATTTCCTCTCTCCACTCTAGAACCACTGGCGTATGCCTCCATGGAATCTTTTACTTTCATTCACATAGATGTATGGGTTCTCAGCTTGCTTATAAACCACCCTGCCAGGGCCCAAAGCTGGAGGATAGCCTCTCTCTCTGCCATTTGGGTGAATGGCCAACATTTCCCAGGAATGAATTGGATACAGACCCAACTCTTGAGGTTTTCCCTGTCCTATGACTAAAAGACCAAACAGGAAACTGGACATCTTCAGTCACTCCCTCAACAAGTGGTTCTTGAGCTACTGGGTGCCAGCTGATCAAGACAGATGCAGCCTCCAGTGTTGGACCCAGGTCACTCCAGAACATACTGACATCGCTGGGCTTCTCATCCAGCGTTGGGAGGTGAAGTGGCTCAGAGATGACTTGTCCAGGGACATGACAGTTGGGGCTAAGAGGCTTTGGCAGGAGCTCATCTCGAAGGCCAATGTTTAGGTCAGTGGTTCTCAAAGCATGCTCCCGGGACCAGCAACACCAGCATCTGCCAGGAATTTGTTAGAAATGCACTCCTAGGCCCAACCCAGGCCTACTGGATCAAACACTGAGAGTGGAGCTCAGCACTATGTGTTTTAACAAGCCCTCTATATGGTTCTGATGCTCAAGTTGAGAGGCACCAACCTAAACCACGTTAAAGGGCTGGATTGTTCCTGAGGCAGTGGGGAGGTGCTGGAGGGTTCAGGCAGGAGAGGGCCTGGAGAAAATGGGCCATGTAGAGAGAGGGTAGCTGGGCTGGAGCCCAGCATGGTGGCAAGCATGGTAACAGGGGCCTAGGTGAGAGATGACAGTAGCCTGGCCAAGGTGGTGGCAGGAGGAATGAAGGAAGTGGGCAGATGGAACAGTGCACTGAGGGTGGAAACAACAGGATTTCATGGATGGGGTGAATGGTGGCCCTTTGCTGAAATAAAGGACCCAGTAGCAAATCTTTGGGGCCTAAGTGTGAGGTACTGGGTTATTCGTGCAGAGGGGCAATGTGGTAGCTGCCCACAGCAATGCGGCCAGGCTTGAGAATAAGAGAGCTGTGTGCCCTTGAGTGTCATTTAATCTCTTTGAGCCAAGTGTTTTCTCCTCTGTCAAATGGGAAGAATGCCAACCTGCTTCATAGGATGATTATGAGACCTCTCTGTGGTGTCTGGCCAGCAGGCAGGGAGTGCCTTGGGGACATACACATCACTGCATCCCCAGCTCAGAAGCTGCCATCATCAGAACTAACATTTGTTGGGCATCTCCAAGTCCCTTGCACAGATTAACTCAATCTTCACCATGGTCACCGATGAGGACATTGAGGCAACATGGAGGTTAAGAAACTCACCCAGGGTCTCACTTTTGTCCCCCTGCTATGCTCCCAATGAGTGTGTGGCCTAGAAAACCATACAAAGCGACTGTACAAACTATACAAACCATACTAAAAAACTATAAATAAATCAAGATGGACTCCTAAAAAATGTTCAAATAACTTGCAAGAAAGTAAGAATGGAGAAACAGAGGAAACAAACAGAAAACAAGTAATAAAACGGCAGTCAAAAGGGTGAATCTGCAGGGCACAGCTCCTAGCACAGGAGCAGAGATGGACACATGGCACGTATTTGCTTTTAACAGTCTGGAGGGGTGTGGGAAAGGTGAGAGTGGCTGAGAGCAGGGGGCTGGAGGCAGGGTCTGTGCCTGAAGGGCTCCCCAGACAAGGCCAAAAGTATGCACAGAGGCATGGAGCAGGAAAGGGACATGGCTTTTTGGGGAGGCTTTGAGAAGCTTGGCCTGGTCAGGTAGAGCATTTTGAAAGGTCTGAGTGAATGTCTTGATGTTTATGTATTAGGTATCTACTGTGGATTAGATGAGAATAAACTGAGCACCTACGAGAGAGGCTTCAGGCAGGATTCCAGCCCTCTGGGCCTGCTGTAGCACCACGGAGGAGTGTTTAGCATCAAATCCCCGCCCACTCACACTGGGCATTGGAGCCTGATTAGAGTCAGAGGGCCAGCTCAGCTGTGAGACCTTAAGCAAGAGACTTCTTTTTTTTTTTTTTTTTGTCCTTTTTTGAGACCGGCCGCACCGCGCTCAGTGAGCACTGTGAGCACACCGGTCATCCCTATATAGGATCAGAACCCGCGACGGGAGCGCTGCTGCGCTCCCAGCACCGCACTCTCCCGAGTGCGCCACGGGCTCGGCCCAGCAAGAGACTTCTTTCTGACCCCCAGTTGCCTTGTCTGTAAAATGCAGCAATGATTCCTGCCTGTGGCTGGGGGGATGGCAGTGGCATCCAGCAGATCTTGGGTGTGGCCTCCCCAGTCTGGCCCAATGCCCAGCCTGTTAAGCTGGGCACACTCAGGGCATGCTTCTGTCCTTTGTTTCCTGTTAACCTGGAGCTGCCATTCCATCTCTTCTTCATCCTGGAGCCCTTTCCCACCCTTGAGCTATTCCACAGCAGCCAAGGGCTAGTGGTCAGGCATGCCAGGGTCTGGGTGGGTAGGAACAGGAACATACATTTGGTCTACTAGATGGCCAATCTGCCCAGCGTCCCCAGGGCTGCCAAGTCCTCATGTACCCAGTGCTCACCAGCATCAGGCTTTTCATTTACATCCCACTCATCACATAGGGGAAAGTATTTTGACACAGAGTTTGGATTCAGAGTCAGGCTACATCCTAGCTCCTCCCCTTATGAGATGTGTTATCTGGGACAAGTTATTCCCCTCTCTGAGCCTGTCTCCTCATCTATCAAATGGGCACAACCACCAGAGACAAGGTGGCGTTGATAATAAGATTCTGCATGGAAAGAGACTAGAACAAGGCCTGATGGGCCTTGGTGGATATTCCTAGTCAGCTGAACCCCATCACCTCCAGCCCCAGAAGTGCCTTTTCTGACCCACAGCTATTCCTGCCCCGTGGGCCAAGGGGACCTCTAGTTAGTGCCAGTTTCCTCAGAGCATTCCTGAGGGCTGGGGAAAAGAACAACAGGTTTAATTAACTCCCAGTGACTGGCAGCATCGTGTTTTTATCGGCTGCGTCACCATGGCAGCTTCATGGTGGGGTTGTCGAGGGGGTGGGCAGAGCTATTGTTCCTGCCATTGTCTGTTCTGGAACGCAGGCCCAGGAGAAAAGGACTGGCATGGGCACCAAGTGGCACATGGCTGAAAGCCATTTGGGGAGAAGTGGGGGGCAGCCCGTTGCTTGGCTTCCCCCCAGCTTGGGGCTCAGACTCACTGTGGACCCCAAAGCTGAGTGTGTGAGCACCTTGGGTATGCTGAGGAAAGGAGGATCCATGGGGCTCCTAGAAAAGGCCCACAGAGTGGCTCAGGCTGCAGTAGCACTCTCCCATTACACTCAGGCTAGGGCTTTGTGACCAGGCCGGGGTTCAAATTATGGCTCTGCCACCTGCTGTTTACACAGCTAATTGCTCCCCCATTCCTCATCTATAAACTAGGAATAATTCCAGCTACCCACCAAAGGGGTGTACTTTAATGTCCCTGGGTATAAGGCACTCAAGAAGGGCTCGTTTCTGTTCTGTGGGGGTGGCGAACGGTCGCCTGCCCCCCTTCACTCCTCAGTCAGGGCTCCTCCTACATCCGTCTTGGATGCAAAGTTCCCTTTCTTTAGCCCTGGCTGTGGAGAGGAGGAGGTGGAACTAGAGGTGCCCATCTGGGGTGAGGGCAGGACCAGGGGGTACGAAAGACAAGTTTCTGATGCTCATCTAGTTTTCCTCCCCTCTGCAGAGGAAAAGGAATTGAGGGAAGGGAGATGGCGGCCTGGAGCTAGAGTGGCAGAGCCAAGTGGGGGTGTGCAACGGTAGGAAGCGGGGGAAGCAGGATTGGAGCTGAAATCCAGCAGTTGGAGGCGCCAGGAGGAAAGAAAGAGGCCTGGCCTACGCCCGGTGCTGCGCGCTAGGCGGACCATAAGGCAGAGCCGGTGGCATTCAGTAGCAGCCAGTGCCACCCGACCGAGCCCCACTAGAAAAGCGGCGAAGACCAGGAAGCCGCGATGCAGGGCCGGATGTTCCATACTTGGGGCTGGCTGAAGCTGGGCGCCGGGTGGGTTTCTTGCGGTGCTTTGGACGACCCTTTCCCCGCCCCAAAGCAACCGCGTTGAGACTCCTCTTCAGCACCCTGGTGTCCACAGGCCTCTGAAACCCTTTCCTACTCGGACTACCTTGTGCCGGAAGGTTGCGGGTGACGAATCTCCCGAGCGGGCTCAGAGCCCGACTCCGGACTTCGTGCGCCCCCTGCTGGCTCGGCTTGGCTCCCCTCAGTACCCCGGCTTCGCGGCAGCGGCCGGATCTCAGATCCGGGGAAACCCTACCGGGGGAACCTCGGGGCGTGACGTCATCGTCCTCGGTGACGTCACCGGGCCCCCGGGGAGTGCGGGGGTTCCCACAGAGGCGGCTTCCCCGGGACTGCGCAGTCACTGCGCCCTGTGTCTGCCCCACAGGTCCCGCGCGGCTCCGGGTGAGGCGCGCCA